GATGTGTAGACGGCTGCTGATGTGTGGCTATTAATTGTATTTTTGGATGATTTCCATCTGTCCAAAAGGAAAAACACTTATGGTTTTTGTGGGGTTTTTTTTCAGTATATTCCTGTAATGTTCTTTTTATTTCTGATTTTTAAAAAGGAATAAAAAATGTATTCTTTACTATTTAAAATTTTGTTCTCCAAATTGCTTTCAATGAAGAGTATTTCTAACAATAACAAAACAACAACAACAAAACAACTAGATTTATCCAAAGACTCATTGTAATGTTCCTGACTTATATATGATTACCCATTCACAGTCACCAAATTCTTTATAATCCATTGTAAGAGAGGATGTTGGTCATAGTATTTTTTTCACAGAGAGGAAATAGGGGGTTTAGCTTTTTTTGTAAGATTGCCAGACACGCTGCTATTATGAGCTTCAGTCCAATATTCGGTTCCAATATGCATTAAATCTACCCATAGAGACAGGATTGTGCAAAGAAAGACCACTGGTTATTTTAATATCACAATGTAGAAATATTTGCTATCATGGCTTATAAAAACCTGTATTGAAAGTATATCGACAGCTTCATTCCATAGGCTACAGTTCTTTTGTTATCTTCAGTTCTTAATTTTATAGATTTTTGTGGAAATTTTTAAGTTTCAGTGGTCCAGTGGTTAAGTTGGATCCCAAAGTGATGAGTCCTTAGGAAACTGAACTTGTTTTATGGGTTTATTTTCCATGCTGAGCATTTAAGTATTAATCAGTGCCGCTTTCAGGGATTTCTTTCTAACATCCTTTCCTATGTAAGATAAGGACTGTAATTCATTAGACTACTGGAGGAGCCAGAGGCTTTGCTAAGCTTTGCCTTTCTTGACTGTTCATCTCAAATTTAATGTGAGTTTGTGTGTGCTTGTGCGTGGGCGTGTCTATACTGGTGACCAGACCTGAATTATGACACAATCTTGGTTGTCTGGCGAGATTGTCTCTCCTCTTCAGGGGTCAAAGATCATTTCAGCCTCAGTGTCCTTTCTGCTACCTACTATGGGAAGTAGCAAATGTGAACTTGTGAAACCAAGGGGTGACTTTTATCACGTTATTTTTCTTTACATTTCTCTATCAACCTAGCTCAGAAAATACTGAAGAAATAAAAATAACTCCTCAACTACTAGGTTTCTGTGATCTGATCATTTCTGAAGTGAAAACCTCTATTACCCTAGCAATGGTTCCTTGAGTGTTTTATTCCCCTTAGGCATAAACATCACAAACAACAAACCCTCAAGCCCACAGCAAAGAGAATGCAGACACAGGACACCATTCCTTTTCCCACTGCTTTTTTAACTTGGGGTGGTAGGCTAAATTTTGGCGAGGATGATGACATTCACGGGAGGGGGCGGGATAAAATTGTGTCTAATTACACGTTAATGGCAGCGCTCGCCTTAACCACTTCCCCTCCCTCATCGTGCTGAATTTCCCCTGTGTGCTCCCATGTGGATCCGGAGACCCTTCTCTCTTTAAGAGAGCCTCCCGCGCCCCTCACTCCGCCCCCTCCCAGGTCTCTGGGCTCGTCAAAGCTTCCCGAGAGCCATGGTTGGTCCAGGCAGGCAGTCGGAGCACCTCATGGAGCCGCTGCTAACCGGGGGTGGGGTGGGGGGGTCTGTTTGTAGTACTCTCAGTCCTGATGTCACAGGCGCGGCAAGGACATCGCAAGGAGGAGTCGGATTACAGTAAGGATGGGCAGTGCAGCAGGCAGCCGGAGCGCACGCTCCAGCCGCCGGGGATCGTAGCCCGGGAAAGGCAGCCTGCAAGGCGCTCATCCCGCGGAGGACGCACGCTCAGCGCTCGCAGCTCTCCGCGCCGGGGACATTTCCGCCGAATGTAGCATGAAACGACTCTGCTCTGCGTGTCAGCCTTGGGTGCGAGCTGATGCTGAAGACGCCGCGGTGGGGTTCCAGCTGTCTGATTAATGAGAAACATAATGTATTTTGGTGAGTGTTAACTCTAATGATGTAATTCTGGGGGTGTCCAGCCCTTCGTCAGTGCAGACCAGCCCTTTAAAAAATCTTTAAGCCGCGAGAATATATTACGTTAAACCTACCTTCAGTTGGCAAGTGGAGAACCAAGCTGGTGCAGCCTTCAGGGCTTCCTTTGTGCTACAATTGAGGCTGTTTATTTGTCGTGGATGAGTTTAAGTTGGAAAAGAAAGGAAACTGGTGGGGGTGGATAAACTTTGCCTTGATTTGTCTGCATGAAGTTGGCTTTTTTAGCTAGGTGAAGAAGGAGAAATGGTGCGGCGTGGGAAGTCATGGGCTCACTCAATAGAATGTAAAACTAAGTTCCTGTTCTATTGATGCTGTGAAAGCTTGGTCTGTATCAATGTTTCATTAGACGTTCTGGTTTTTCCCTAATTCTGAGCCAAAAAGGGAAAACATTCTTTGGTGTGCCGCGATTGAACAGCTGAGGACGCTTCTCCATACCGTCCCATTTTCCTTCTAGCTAGAACAGCCTAGCCCAAAATGCATATTATTTTAAACCTTTAGAGGTCTCGAAGCTGTTAAATATTTGTGCAGTTTAGTTGTGTGCTACGGTGGAAAGCTCCCTGAAGATTTTCAGCTGAGCTGCCTGCATTTCCAGAAAACATGTTGAGGCTTAGATCTGGGCTATCACTGGAGCACTGTAAGCGGGTTGGGAGCTTGTGTTCGCACTGTAACGCTGTAACTTACTGCTGAGAGAGAAGGCTCAGCCCCTTCACTATATAAGCAGCCAAGGATTGGGACTGAATCCCCCACCCTCCTCCCTGAAGTTATGCTTTCCTTCTGTAAGTTCCATCCCGCGTCATCATCCGAGGGCATCTATCTGATATTAAAAGGTTTGTGAGAACAGCTGGAGAGGGGCCAGGGAAGAATTCCAAGATGCAAATGCTCTGGGTCATTTCTTGGTTTGCTTTAAATCTGAGATCGAGAGTCGTTTTTCAGATTAAAGAGGTGCTTGGGTAAACTTGTGTTGGGGGAGTATTCGTTTCCTGGCTGTTTATTTGTGTTTATTATTTGCTTTTGTTTTCTTGAGACTTTGAATTATTTGTGAAAGTATGGAAGGAACACAAGTTGGGAAAGCTGAATGTCTTTAGCTGTCCTGATAGCAGTTTTGATTTCCCTATCCTGTGTATCGTATTAGAAAAGAAGTCTTAAAAATAACTAAAGTTGATTTGGAAGAAACAATCCTCATTTCATAGCCAAATTTAAGCCGAATCCAGAGTTGAACAACACCTCTTTCCAGGCGTAGTGATGGAGGTGGTAACCTTGTTTATTGGCAACCGATAAAACACCAAGTTGTTTTTCGTGAATATATTTTTGGTAAATGGGAAATCTTGTAAAGGAATATGACTTTTGCACAAAATAAAATTTTGGCATCTGTAATGATACTGAGGGATAGGAAGTAGATTATAATTTTAGTTAAAGTTTTCAGCCTCTTGCAACAATTCCTTATGTGATTGTGTTGAGGAAGGAAGGTTGGCCAGAGTAGTGGCATAGTCCAAAAGTACTGGTCAGTAGCCATCCGCGCTGTCCTGGATTATCATGTGGCTGTTGGAGAAATGTTCACTGGGCTAGCTCATGTAAACTGTAGGCTAGTCCAGCTGTCTTGTAAAGCAGGGTGATTCACAGGGCAATTAGTTTCACTGTGTAATGCAAGTTTTTAATAGTACCAATTGAAATGTGATGTCCTACTTCAGACGAAACCGTACTCTTTTAAAGGCAAAGCTAAAGTTGCCCTCTGTGTCATGAACAGGGTTCAGTCTCACCATAATTCCAGCATGAGATACGTTTTTCTATTCCTGGAGGAAATCGTGGGTATTCAGGAATGTCGTTTATTTCAGGTTATGCTATGCAGCCCCTCGCTCAAGCTGTTAGACATTCAGAACTCCGAGAGCCCACCTATCTCTAATAAAATGCATGGTGTAAGAGCTAGGGCAAGAAGAATTGAGCAAAACAACCCAGGCATTTTCAAGATTCAGTAGCATGCTAATGTTTGCAAATCCCTAAGACGACGTGTATATACATATGTGTGTGTGTGTGTGTGTGTGTGTGTGTGTGTGTATTTGTGTATATTTCCAAAACTTTAGCTATTTCAGGTAGTTTTTTGAAAACAACACTTTCACTTTTTAGTTTGGTTGCCCATGACTTTCTTCTTCATTCTTGAACTGAGTCAGGGAGAACATGGACAAAGAGCAAGAGGGGCTGCATTCCTGGGCTTTTCTGGTGGTTTGTGGGAGTGGAGTTGAGGCGGCAGAAGACTTATTTGCTTCCCCAGCAGGGAGTGATGAGGAGTACGGTGATGCTGTAAAGCCAGGTAAACTGATATGTAGGCAGGATACTTACCGCCCTTATAAATAATCTAATTTGTCAGTGTTGCTCAATACCCCCCTTCAAATATAACTGAAGCATCATTGCCTGAACAGGCTGGCCCAGACTGCCTGCTTTTCTGTATGTCTCTCTCACCTCAGGGACTGGACAACTGGACCCCGTCCTTGCTCAGTTGGAGTCAGTTTCCTGTGTGTGCAAGTGGGTGGAATAAGTAATATTTCCAGTTCTCAAGAATAGCTTGTTTTGAGTGTGCTCTCTCAGACTTACAAGACTAATGGACCCTTTTAATGACTTAAGCCTCACTCTTATCTCCTATTGAAATTTTAGTGCAGTGTTTTCAATAATTGTTCATTTGCACTTACTGTGCAGTGATTTAAGAGTTTGCTGTTCAGTCACCGTGGATACTTTTGTTACTTATGCTATCGATCTTGCATTCATTACTTGGAGTTAAAAATAAGGTTCACAGAGGAGAGAGAGAAGCAAGGAAAATCCCAATCAGCAACCTGATTGGGGATTTACAGTAAAAGCAAGGAAAAAGAATAAATACGTATGAAATTCCCTCCCCACCCCCATAAATATTTTACATAGTTAAAAATTACATGTGCCAAGGATGAATAACCATTAATAATTAATCCAGAAATAAAAGCAAGGCAGCTGGGAGGCTTCTCCTCAGATTAAGGAAGAGAGGCTGTGGGTGGTTGTCACTACAACAGACCTGAGCTGCTGGGCTACAGTTTGGTTAAGAGGAGTGTGCTGGTATGAAGGGCATGTTCTTTGCTTGAGTGCATCCCGGCTATTTGTCAGAGCCTGGCAGAAGGTTGTAACCATGTACTCTCTCCAGCTCTAAGCGCCGTATGTCTGAATCATCTCCCCCCCTCCATCTGGCCCACCACATTTCTCCACTGCTGGAGTGGTGAGTCGTTGCCAGTGGTCAAGTCAACCTCAAACATTGTCCATCGTTGGCCAGAGAGGGGCCGTGTCTTGATCCCTTGCCATCAGGAGAGAAAACAGGAGGCTGATTGCACTGAGGAGATTCTGTGTGGCTGAAATTAAAGATGTTTTCAGGCCCGAGTCCACCAGCTGGAGACTCTGGGGAGCTTACAGCCAATCAGAGGCCGGGGCTTGCTCCATGAGAAATCTGGAGATTTCTGGAATCTGGAAAAAGGAAATGATACACCTTCAACAAATGAACAGAACGGAGAGACAAATAATAGAGGCCACTCTAAATGCTACTGTTAACAGTGTACTAAATAAACCCTGAGAAAGGGGAAAACTCAATCTAGAAAGTGTGAGAGGGCCATTCAAGTTCAGCTTACTGTTTCTTCTGGATCAGCTGTCTTCCTTAAAATGCCTGCAAAAAATAGAAAAAATACTCCGCGGTATGCCGATCATAACAAGAAATACTTAATTGAGGAAACTTGTAATACAACAGCTAGAAAAAAATCTGGTAGGAAAATTCTAGCCCAGAAACCTATTCCCCAGCCTCTAATAGATACGTTCGTACATTGTCGTAAGAAGGACTTTTGTTTTTCCCCTGGGATGCTGAGAACATTCTCACGTCAGCATTTACACTTTTGGTTGTGGCTGGACCATCAAGTTTCACCTCTGAAGCAGTCTGTTAGGAAAACAGTTAAGTGGCAAGGTTATGGGGAAGGAAATGAGCAGAAAACAGCAGGCAGCAGAGTAAAACATTCCTCTTTTTTTGTGTGTTTTCAGTGGAAACATTTAACTCGTCCTAATTAGTTTGTACTGAGTGATCTGTTATGGGGAATTAGGTCCACTAGAGTCTCTCTAAATGCTCTGGAGGTGTTTCTATCTTCCTGAGGCTGACAGGAGGACAGAATAATCGGGAAGGAACTTGCTAGTGCAGATTACCCTTTTTAAAGCTTGAAGTCATTACCATTATGTTTTATTACAAATGAATCTAAATGACATGCAATAAATTACTACATAACAGGGATGGAGAATGTGACAGGTGAATCCTGTCAGAAGGGATCACGTGCAGGAACCAGCAATCGAAGAGAACTTGGAAAACCATAAAGGTTTCTTTCTCAAGGCAAGCTCTCTTTTAAATTCATGTGAAGCTCTTATTTTAAGGAAACGAATGCCAGATTTGCTCAATATGCCAGTAGCATGGAATCCTTATTACGCTCTTAAATTTTGAGCAAAAAAAAATATTTTTAAGGACTTTATTAGTTGCTGTAATTATATGGAAATGAGATGGGTTTATTTAAGGGATATGTTCCAAAATTCATGAGATAATGACGATTTGCAAAGTTACCATTTTGTGGGTGGCATAATTGTTCCAAAAAACAAATGAAAAATTTAAATTAGTGGTTTCTGACTTTCATTCCAGAAGATTTGGTCACAGCTGTTTTTGACTGAAACCTCCCCTGATAAGGCAAGATGTGTTGGCGTGTGTGTGTGTGTGTGTGTGTGTGTGTGTGCGCACCGCTTCATATTGGATCATCAAATAGTGCCTTTTTATGTATATATCTGAATTTCATTGCTCATTCACATCTTGTATGTGTTCCTGAATCTTTGCACATCATTTAAAAGGTAAAACATTGGTTTAACAAGATGGATATTTAACTGTTTTTTTTTTAGCACAGCTGGCTTCAAGTTTA